TTTCTTCCTTTGCTCGAGCAGTAGATTTCGACGTCCAGGAAGATAGGAAGAAAGGTATCGCATGACTCTCCTTCAGTTTACGACACAGGATTTTGTGTTCTTCGGTTTCCTCGGGATAGAGGAAGAAAAGTGCAAAGAGTAGTTCCTTGCGGCAGAAGGAAGAAGGAAAAAAAAAGAAGAAGAAGAATATTGTTCTCTCTTGGTTTCTTCTTGGTGGTTTGTGGCAGAAGAGAAATTGAGTTTATTTCTCTTGTAAGTTTATCTTTTCGGTGTATCTCAGTGTAGAGAGAGAAGAAGAGAGAACAACTAAGTGAGAGATTCCTCTTGTAAGTCGAGACGATCGACTGGTGTAAATTCCTCAAATAGTAAAATCTCCTGCAACTCTGTGGACGTAAGCAATTCGCCAAACTACGTAAATCTGTGTGTTCCGCTATGTTTCTATTTTTCGGTGTGAATTTTCCCGTTCTATTTTTCGCCTCATCAAAGATTGTTCTTCTATTTTATTTCGATATACCACAACACGGGGGGAGTGTTTGTGGAATAAATTCCTTACATCCTCTGTCGTTTCTATGCTAAAGAATCTTTCACAAATTATTACCCACTGATGATCTTCTTAAATTGATGAGCGGCTGGCTTTGCAAGGCAGCTGAGGACTCTTCTACACATATTTTTTTTGAATGTCAATTTTCTCAGAAGGTATGGGGGAGTTCATTAAGGACCTAGAGATCAACACTTTGCTGTTAGAGTGGCAACATTTCAATGACTGTTGGATAGGCTGGAATCAAGCTAAGCTTGGTCCCATTCCTTTCATCATAGCTTGGTTCATATGGATGGCTAGAAATAATTCAAATTTGAGGATACTTCCCTCACTGAGTTGCAGGTGGCTGTAAACTACAAGTCTTTATCAAATTGATTCAGCACTAGAAATTCCCCAACATTCTTCATATCAAGAGGACAAAATACCACCATCTTTCTATGTGAATAAGGTGTTTTAGCTCAGGCCTGTCTACCCCACTATCAAAGTTAATACAGATGGTAGTTTCTCACCTAGTGGAGCTGGTATTGGTGGCATCTTCAGGGATTACAATGGTACATGTTTATTCTATTTTCAATCCCCTATTGTTGTTATCGATGCACTGGAAGCTGAAGCTGCTGTGTTTTGGGCTATTAAGTTGACCACATTTAATCATTGATCTTTATTGCTCTTGAATGCTATCACTGAACCAGGAGGTTCCCCATGGCACATCTTACGATGGATCAAGCTTATTCATTCACTGGACTCTAATTGATGTTCAAATCTCTTTTATATTTATGAAGGGAAACAGGTCAGCCAATTGGTTGGCTAAGAATGGTTGTCAGTCACACACACACACACACACACACACACAATATATATAGAGAAAGCCCAAAAAGACTAATATATTAACTAGAAAGAAAGATATAAATACAATGTGTGGGAGGGTTCGAGCATGACACCCCGCCCACACAAAAATCACAAATGGTTCCAAAACTAGAAAATACATAAAAGTACCTTAGAGATTTAAAAAAAAAGTCTAAAAGTGTAGAAATACAAAATATCAGGTGGCTAGAGGGCGATCAAATTTGGTCGTCTCTGCCTGTAGTTTAGGGAAGGAGCAAGCTAATAAGTTGGTAAGATGATTGTCATTGCCAATAGTAACCAATGTGTCATCCAATATGTTCTCGAGCTGGAGTCGGCCTCCATTCTTCTTTTTCCTCCTGCTGTAGACCTATCATTCCTCATTTGAAGATTGGCTCGCCTGATCTTGATCTAAAGTGTGTTAGAGATGTGCAGGTTGTTGAACATTATAAACAACTACATGTTGTACCAGCTGATCTGTTATTTGGATCAAAGGAGCCCTCTCGTGTGTCTTGACATGTAAGTGAGTCTTCTTCAATAACAGTGGGTGGTATAAGCACAACTGGATCTGTAACTGTAGTATGGTGTTCTTTGTCAGGAACTGCGGTGTTGGAAAGATAATCGGTTGCATCTTCTCAACAGGGATGATAGGCGGTTGATCTTTAACGATATCCTACCTTAGATGAGGATGCAAACAATAGCAAATAGTAGAGCTGTGACCAAACATACTGCAATAAGAGCAATAAGGTGGGTGTGGTTCTATTTCAATCTTTTTCCAATACGCATTGTGAGTGGTTCCAATCCATATGTCATTCGTAGCTGGTTGAGTGATATCCCTCTCAACTAACACATAAGCCACAGAGAGTCTGGTGACAACAATCATAGGACTATCAACCTTGAGAGACTTACTGTAAACAGTTGCTAAGGAGTAGAGAATTTCTAAGTTGAACAGATGTAATTTTAACCCTAGAAACATTATGCAAACTGGAATGATAAGGTACTCTGCTTTTGGATCAAAACCAATAGTCCACTTCAGAATTTTCATATAACGGTTGTCGATCTTGATAACTTTCCGAGAAAAAATGCCAGTGTAATCGACATCGTGAGATAACTGAATTAGTATGTGTCAACCGTTAAGTAAACCAATATTTCAACTGCCCAACAACTTCATAGCAGCAAATTCTTTTCGAATGATCTCAAATTTTGGGTGACCATAAAGAAAATTTTCCACTAGAGCAAAACACCACTAGGATGCAAGAATACTGGTTTCATTCTCTGTGAGAATAAGAGCAGATTTCTCAATTTTTTTTCAATTTTTTTAATGAAGATGTGATCGCCACCACCTTTAAGAGCATCGTGAAATGATTGTGGGACATTGCAGGATTTACGCATATGAAAACCAGTCTCTGAATCTGAAAGAGGAGCACAAGTAGGAATAGGAAAGTCACCGGCAAATGCAGTGACATAGGAACGGAACGTTGATGCTATCTCCAGAGCAGCTATGCGAGCCGCTAAAAATAGGTGGGCAAACTTCGGAGGCAGTACAACTGCGAGCCGTCCGTCGACTGCGGGTGAGAGACGCGAGCGTCGAGAGCTGTCGATTGAGGGTGAGAGAAGACGCAAGCCGTCGGCTGCGGGTCGTCAAGTACAAGAGCAGCGAGAGTCGTCTAGAGCAGGTGAGACGTCGTCGAGTACAGGAGGACGTCCGCGAGAGCGTGAAAGCGTCGTCTAGAGAGACGACAGAGAGAAAGTGAGAAATCGAGGAATCACTGCCGGGAATCGCCATCGTGCGAAACCCTAGCAGAGCGCGCCGCGGGG